AAAAAAACGTACCAGAACCAGAGGAAAACGTAGATTTTCTCGTTGAAAATGTTGATGGCCAAAACGCAGATGGCGTCATGTTTCTGCACGGTTCCCGTGGGCCCGTACATGCGCCAATCGCATTTGGTGACTCTCGGGAAAATTTTGATCATCGGATCCGTGCGATTCTTGTAGTCCAGCTGAATAAAGTCGATGACTTCCGTTCCTGAGAACCACATTTTATATGGAGGCATGAATATGAGCTCAGAACTCAGCATTGTACACTTCCACAGGACACGAATATTTTTTTTTTTTGAGAATGACAAGGTGAATGACTTATTCAAAAATATTCTGCATAACTTTTTTCGTCATGAACAAAAGAATGAGACAGGTTTCCGAGTTCCGCAGGTCAATCGTGACCAACACAAATTGTTTTCAGCTGTCATTTTTGCATAAATAAATAAAAAACTTAGCCAAAATAATTTTCTTTGCTTTTACCATATCCCAGTATAAAATGAGTGCTTACCTAAATAAATTAAAAATTAGCCAAAATCATTATCTTGTCTTTACCATATCCCAGTATAACATGAGTGCCTCCAAGTTCAGCATACTGTCAGCTCATTTAAAAAGCAATTCAAGACCCAGAATATGAGCAATTACAATGTTCTGTATTTTTTTTCTCAACAAAAATGCTTTCCTTGACTCGAAACCCCCCTAACAGGAATTTTTCACTCAAAGTTTGACTTATTGAAGATGTATTTATTTAGTTCGAAAAGAAAAACTTGAGAATATTTTTCTGGAAGTTAGTTGAAGAAAGACAGTTTTTGTAGAAAAATATATTTTGTCGAGCCTTGGCTTCCTTCCAAAAATGAATTTATAATGTCTCATTCTATCGAGGAAATTGTGTTTACAGGAATCATAGAATTTCTCAAAGAATGCACGCCTCAAATTTTATTATACTGTACATTATTCGAGTATTTGGGAGGAAGTATAAATTAATTTTGAATTGTTTTGGCAAACATTTTTCCTCCAACCCTCCAAACGGCTTTGAAGTCACTATGTTGTGGATATGAAAAGCAATTAAAAAAAGCTCCTGAGACGATAAGAAGCGATGCAAAACCGGGGCAAAAAATTTGCATGACGAGGGTATACTTCTCCTAAACGCATAATTATCTTTAAGCGTATTTCATGCAAAGGAATATTTTTTGCAATCTCACCGAAAGTCTTGAATTCGCCTCCCAGAAACGTGTCGGTGAAGAAAATATTGCCGACGACCACTGCGAAATTCAGTGCTTCACAAACGAGAAACCACAAGTAAAAGCTGTAATGGGTGCCTCTGGACTTGTCCACGTATTTGACAACATTCGACATCCGCGCAAATTTCTTCTCTGATTCCCCGAAACTGCTTCCGTCCAATTCGTCCAACACTTTGGCGAGCGATTTCGACTCGATCCCGCGCCAAATGTAGTGCGGAATGTAGAAGAGGATGGATTGCAGGAGCAATACGAACGGAACCCATTGGTAGTAAGCGTGGTAGTTCTTTGTGGAGGGTTCCTTGAGGTTTTCCGGCCCGACGCCCGGGTGCGGAATTAGTTTGCCCACTGGCTTGTCATAGTGCTCTTCCAAAGTGTAGGTTGATGAGATCTGAAGCCAACATTTTTTAATAAAAAAAAGTAGTCTTCTGTGAAACTTATGCTATTTTGCGAGGAAAACCCTGGGAAATATATATACAGGATATATATATATATATATCATATATATCTTCCCTCATATATATATATACAGTATATCTACAACTTTTTGGAAAAATGAAGTGAAAACTGCTTTAAATCGCTTAGATTTGTCTTTTAAAATCACTGGTCCAATAATAAGTAACCGATTGACTATTTCTATGCAACAATCTTGTCTGCTATAATTTTCTTTGAAGGACAAAAAATTGGTTTCATGGAGTTCTTCCTCCATGTAACAGGGGTTCTCTATAAAAAAGAATTTTTCTACAACAAATATTTCTGTCACTTTGAATTTTGCTCTGGCAAGAGATAGCCTGTTTTGAGTGAAATATCTATTCAACATATATTATCATTCCATAAATCATTTGGAAGAACTATAGAAACATGGATTATTCCCAAGTGGCCTGTTGAACATGTGTTATCCTGACTGAAAACTGGCTAATTGCCTGTGCTTCATTCTTATTGCACTACACCTTTGTCTTCAGTTCATTTTCTTGGGTTCCACCTATACAGTAGTTAAATCTTGATTTATTGTGAAGCTCCTCAAATACCTCTTCAAGTTGAAAGTCCCAATCTGATTTCCTTTCGAAAGAATGAACTGAAAACCTCTCTAACTCAAAAGGCTTTATCCTTGAACATCAATAACTTGCATTTTCTGATCCCTCTTGGATGTTCTTTTCTTGCAGAGGACAGATAAAAGTGATAAAAAAATGATATTGATGTTTTTCAGAAGAAGCCAAAAGACTTCTTGCGCAAATGAACCCCTCCCTCCAAGTTCAGCATCCTGTTGACTCATTTGAGAAGCAATTTAAGACCCAGAATATCACCATTTACAAATTCCGGCAATTCCCCTATGTTTTTCCATGAACAAAAATGCTTGCTTCCGTCATTCAAAACCCTCCTGAACTTTGAACGTCCCTCAGTCAAATCCTCCTTGAGTAAATTTTTTTTCCTGGTCCCTTGAAGTTCAACTTAGAAAGGTTCAACTGTACCTAAAACCCATGTACTGCATGTAGATAAGGACCAGCGACATCTATCAAGAGTCATGTCCTCATTTTCACACAGGAACTCCTAAACCTATCTTTACAAAAAAAAATAATAATGCCCAACAAAGAACCTTCATTTTTGGAAAATTTAAAGCAAGGTGTGAAGAAAGCTTTGCAGAATGAAACCCCACAGCGATCTTTAAAAAAATAGATGCCTCAATAAAGCAGGTCATTCTCAGATTTCCCCCCACTTACCCAGCAGTAAGTATTGACAGACTTTGCATACTGATTTTGATCACCAATTCCCTTCTCTGTGATGCATTGAATCGGCTCTCCAATAAACTCTTTCGCAGTGACGACCACGCAAAACAATAAGATGATCCCACTGGTGAACTTGTAATGCAATTTGTTGACATAGCTGTCGAAACGCACTTTTCTCGACACCACGGAGAATCTGGACTTCAAGTCCGAAAACAACGACAGCATCCTGACTGCGTATTTCTATATATATTCTGTCACGAATTTCACAAACAATAAAAAAAATATTCGGCCGTATAATGAAAAGATGTGAAAATTTGAAATTTTTTTTTCATAATATCAGCTACAAGCGTTTGTACCAAGATTCACTGCAAAATCAACGGAAACCTTCCAGAACTTTCCAGCAGCACTGCACTAGAGGATTTCAGCCAGCCAAAAATTAAATTCCAAATAAATAAAATTTCAAGGTGTCTTCGAAAAGTTTTTAAACCTTCAGTCAACACTTGTTCGGAATAGGTTTGAAGTAGGATTCTCGAAAGACAGACAGGAATAAACTGCCTTATCTGCTGAGTTCCAAATTTCGTTTCGAAGGCGATTTCAATTCCATATCTCTGTGTTGATAAGCTGGAAAATACGGTAGATTTGACTGTGTTCTTTTGTTTGTCTGTGGTCCGCGGACCAGTGCCGGTCCGCAGATATATTTTCTCGGGGGTCCTTCGGAAGTTTCCTCCTGATAAACAGGAAAAAAAGTATTCCCATCTTCTGTGAAATTTTATATAAAGATCATATAAAGCTGATTTGAGGTATTCGCAGGAGATATTAAAGAAACTACAGTAATNAAAAGCTGTAATGGGTGCCTCTGGACTTGTCCACGTATTTGACAACATTCGACATCCGCGCAAATTTCTTCTCTGATTCCCCGAAACTGCTTCCGTCCAATTCGTCCAACACTTTGGCGAGCGATTTTGACTCGATCCCACGCCAAATGTAGTGTGGAATGTAGAAGAGGATTGATTGCAGGAGCAACACGAACGGAACCCATTGGTAGTAGGCGTGGTAGTTCTTTGTGGAGGGTTCCTTGAGGTTTTCCGGCCCGACGCCCGGGTGCGGAATTAGTTTGCCCACTGGCTTGTCATAGTGCTCTTCCAAAGTGTAGGTTGATGAGATCTGAAGCCAAAATGTTTTAATAAAAAAAAAGTAGACTTCTGTGAAACTTATGCTATTTTGCGAGGAAAACCCTGGGAAATATATATACAGGATATATATATATATATATATACAGCTTTTTGGAAAAATGAAGTGAAAACTGCTTTATATCGCTTAGATTTGTCTTTTAAAATCACTGGTCCAATAATAAGTTACCGATTGACTATTTCTATGCAACAATCTTGTCTGCTATAATTTTATTCGAAGGACAAAAAATTGGCTTCATGGAGTTCTTCCTCCATGTTACAGGGGTTCTCTATAAAAAAGAATTTTTCTACAACAAATATTACTGTCACTTTGAATTTTTTCTCAGGCAAAAGATAGCCTGTTTTGAGTGAAATATCTATTCAACATATATTATCATTCCATAAATCATTTGGAAGAACTATAGAAACATGGATTATTCCCAAGTGGCCTGTTGAACATGTGTTTTCCTGACTGAAAACTGGCTAATTGCCTGTGTTTCATTTTTATTGCACTACACCTTTGTCTTCAGTTCATTTTCTTGGGTTCCACCTATACAGTAGTTAAATCTTGATTTATTGTGAAGCTCCTCAAATACCTCTTCAAGTTGAAAGTCCCAACCTGATTTCCTTTAGAAAGAATGAACTGAAAACCTCTCTAACTCAAAGGCTTTATCCTTGAACATCCATAACTTGCATTTTCTGATGCCTCTTGGATGTTCTTTTCTTGCAGAGGACGGATAAAAGTGATAAAAATTACATTGATGTTTTTCAGAAGAAAGAGAAAGACTTCTTGTGCAAATGAACCCCTGCCTCCAAGTTCAGCATCCTGTTAACTCATTCGAGAAGCAATTTAAGACCCAGAATATCACCATTTACAAATTCCTGCAATTCTCCTATATTTTTAAACAAACAAAAATGCTTGTTTCCCTAATTCAAAACCTCCATCAATAGGAAACTTTCTTAGTCAAATTCTCCTTGAGTCAATTTTTTTTCCTGGTCCCTTGAAGTTCAACTTATAAAGGTTCAACTGTACCTAAAACCCATGTACTGCATATAGATAAGGACCAGCGACATCTATCAAGAGTCATGTCCTCATTTTCACACAGGAACTCCTAAACCTATCTTTACAAAAAAGATAATAATGCCCAACAAAGAACCTTCATTTTTGGAAAATTTAAAGCAAGATGTGAAGAAAGCTTTACAGAATGAAACCCCACAGTGATCTTTAAAAAAATAGATGCCTCAATAAAGCAGGTCATTCTCAGATTTCCCCCCACTTACCCAACAGTAGGTATTGACAGACTTTGCATACTGATTTTGATCACCAATTCCCTTCTCTGTGATGCATTGAATCGGCTCTCCAATAAACTCTTTCGCAGTGACGACCACGCAAAACAATAAGATGATCCCACTGGTGAACTTGTAATGCAATTTGTTGACATAGCTGTCGAAACGCACTTTTCTCGACACCACGGAGAATCTGGACTTCAAGTCCGAAAACAACGACAGCATCCTGACTGCGTATTTCTATATATATTCTGTCACGAATTTCAGAAACAATAAAAAAAAAATTCGGCCGTATAATGAAAAGATGTGAAAATTTGAACTTTTTTTTTCATAATATCAGCTACAAGCGTTCGTACCAAGATTCACTTCAAAATCTTCGAAAACCTTCCAGAACTTTCCAGCAGCACTGCACTAGAGGATTTCAGCCAGCCAAAAATTAAATTCCAAATAAACAAAATTTCAAGGTGTCTTCGAAAAGTTTTTAAACCGACAGTCAACACTTATTCGGAATAGGTTTGAAGTAGGATTCTCGAAAGACAGACAGGAATAAACTGCCTTATCTGCTGAGTTCCAAATTTCGTTTCGAAGGCGATTTCAATTCCATATCTCTGTGTTGATAAGCTGGAAAATACGGTAGATTTGACTGTGTTTTTTTGTTTGTCTGTGGTCCGCGGACCGGTGCCGGTCCGCAGATATATTTTCTCGGGGGTCCTTCGGAAGTTTCCTCCTGATAAACAGGAAAAAAAGTATTCCCATCTTCTGTGAAATTTTATATAAAGATCAAATAAAGCTGATTTGAGGTATTCGCAGGAGATATTAAAGAAACTACAGTAATCTCTTTTTTGGATGGTCTGATAATGCATGGTGTTGTCTGGAAATAAAAATTAAAAAATAAAATTAGGTAGGTGCCGCATTTGCGTCTGTTTCAGGATCAAACTCCTCTTTGATTCGGATAAATCAGTTCATTTTACATGATTCTTCAACGAATCAATATTGACTTTAAATCCGTAAATTCATTCTCATCTTTTTTCTTCCGTTGACTCTGTTGCAATCAAATCCTGAGCTTTTCTTTTGCATTTTTTGCAAAGCTCAAGAAAATCCCGGATATCTTCCATGCGTTCAACAAATTTCTGTCAAAGGATTTCTGCGCTAATAAGTTTCTGTCCAATTTCCTGTTGAAATACGCCTCATCAAAACAGCTGAATATCATGACGGTGTTGGTAACCGATGAATGAGTTCGTAACGAGGATTCTCGAAAGACAGACAGGAATAAACTGCCTTATCTGCTGAGTTCCAAATTTCGTTTCGAAGGCGATTTCAATTCCATATCTCTGTGTTGATAAGCTGGAAAATACGGTAGATTTGACTGTGTTCTTTTGTTTGTCTGTGGTCCGCGGACCAGTGCCGGTCCGCAGATATATTGTCTCGGGGGTCCTTCGGAAGTTTCCTCCTGATAAACAGGAAAAAAAGTATTCCCATCTTCTGTGAAATTTTATATAAAGATCATATAAAGCTGATTTGAGGTATTCGCAGGAGATATTAAAGAAGCTATAGTAATATCTTTTTTGGGTGGTCTGATGTTGCATGGTGTTGTCTCAAAAAAAAAATTAAAAAAAAAATTAGGTAGGTACCGCATTTGCGTCTGTTTCAGGATCAAACTCCTCTTTGATTCGAATAAATCAGTTCATTTTACACGATTCTTCAACGAATCCATATTGACTTTAAATCCGTAAATTCATTCCCATCTTTTTTCTTCCGTTGACTCTGATGCAATCAAATCCTGAGCTTTTCTTTTGCATTTTTTGCAAAGCTCAAGAAAATCCCGGATATCTTCCGTGCAAAGTTGTTTAAAGACAGTTTCCTAAAGACGCGATTATTCAAAGACAGGTTAAAGGACAACTTTATGCGGAGTAGTTTTGTCGACTTATAGTACTGCCACAACCATTGGCTACTTACTCAAGCATTGCAACTTTGAAATTAGCTGATGGAAATTAATTAAGGAGTACCGGTACATAGTTTAGGAGTTAATGCGCGCGTTATTAGTTTATTTTCTCAATTTATTCTTCAAACTATGTCAGGTTATGTAGATGATGAGCACTATAAGCGGTGATGATTAAAGCTAGATTGATTTTTTAAATAATTCATATTTCTTTTAATTGCTCAGGTATTAAAAAAATTTCACTCCGTGTTGAATTCCATCATATACTGTACATCCAGCATTAATATATACTGTACAATACTGTACTTTTTCATTGTTTCAGTCCTATATATCACGTGAGATATTTTGTATGACTCTGACCCACTGAAATAAAAATTCCTGCAATATTTCTCTGGTACTCATTTCGATGTTGCCTTCTGAGAATCAAAAGCAGTTTAGATCATGTTTTATGCAATTTATGTTTTATACAGTACAGTATATACAAATGTTCTAACCGTGTTCGTGTCAGAAGAATGCGAGCATTCTTTTTTCCATTAAAATAATAACACAATTTAGATTGAGACAGGTCATTCAAGCTGATTCAAAATTAGTTTATAAATCTTCGCATACATGCAGTGGTTAAAACACCCCTAATTATTTGAGATTTTCGGTGGGTACTTATATTCACGCACTGCAGCGTACGATAAATACGTATGGGCATTCAATAAGATGTGGGTACTTCTAAACGAACTTTGAAATTAGCTGATGGAAATTAATTAAGGAGTGCCGGTACATAGTTTAATAGTTTGATAGTCCCAAATCCGCCACATAGAAATACAATTTGTTAACTACTTTATGCGTGAAGTAGCAACAAAAAAAAATGAAAACGAAAGCCTGGAGGCGCCGGGTATCGATCCCGGTACCTCTCGCATGCTAAGCGAGCGCTCTACCATCTGAGCTACGCCCCCTGTGGTGTTCGAAGGCGTTCAAACCCTTCCTCTCTGTTCCCACACCTGTGAGGTGATCTACCATGAATTTCTAAGGTTTCCCCAGAGAATATAGGTCACCTCTTGTGTACATTATCTATATTTCATATTTGAGAACTGCTCCGGAGCATCAGATAAATGAGTAATTCAATATCTAAATGCATCCATGTTGTAGCAGAATTGAAGAACTCATTTACCTTGTCATTCAGCTGCTTGGTTTGCTGAATGAAAAGTCAATTTAAGTTGTCAATCCTGCTCTTCAACCCAACTGATTAGTACTGTATTGAAGAATATGCAACCTCTTGCTGATTTCACAATCTGATTGATGGTCCAAAAATGCTCGGATAAGTTTTGGATAAGTCCAAAATGCTAGTTACCTAGTTTGGATCTGATTTTGAGGGAAAATGGACAACTTTGTGTTCACTGGGAAAACCAACATAGAGGATTTTAAAATATGAAAAGTCTTTTTTCACATCCCTGGCGACAATTGTTGTCTCTGTTATTCCGTCATGAGTGAGTGTTTGCAAGTGGGTACACTGTATATACGTGTGGGCCCCAGGTCTTTCGGCCACAGTCAGTCAGTCGTTTATCACTCATTCATGCATGCATGATTGACCTATTAGTCTTGGTCATTCGACCATAAACACTCGTCCATCACGATCACAACTTACTCCGCAGGGAATCCTTCGACCGATCCACACTGCCTCTTTCTTTGCTGAAATAATGTGGAAGAAACTTTCAGTGCTGTGCGGTAAGTACAATATGGCGAGTTGGGGCAGGTATATATAAAAAAAAAAAATACTGTACTGTNGCCTCTTTCTTTGCTGAAATAATGTGGAAGAAACTTTCAGTGCTGTGCGGTAAGTACAATATGGCGAGTTGGGGCAGGTATATATAAAAAAAAAAAATACTGTACTGTACAGGGAACCCCAAGGTCAACCCTTTTGTAAAATTTGTCACTCTCGGCTTTTTCAGAGTCGCTGTCAAACGTGTGGTTGAAAAGGAAAAGGGGAAACGGGATAATGAAAACGTGTGGCAAACCTTTATTGTTTGCGGCAGCAGAAAAACCTGGGGGCTTGCGGGAAGTTTTTTGGGGGCACTTGGAATTTTGAATTTACAAATACGTGGAAGATGAGCCAAAATTTAGAGGAGACAAGTTCGGATTTTTTGTGTGTGCAAGGAATACATGTCACAATCATCTGATCCGACATCAGAAAAACCAAATGCCCACTGAGAAAATTCTGTTGTAAAAATTCCTGTTTATGACAAAATTCCAGCAGAACAATTAATATGATACAGTACAATGAAATTTCGTGAAAGCACGTTTTCCACATCTATTACTGCTCAATGAAATGAATATTCTTGTGGATATATTTACACATCCCTCACTTGGCAAAAAATGTGGATGTCTACACACTTGTGGGACTCTTGTCTTGTTTTTTTAAATTGATATAATTTCTAATTTGATCATGGTCCATTTTTTTCCTGCGTTTATTGTCAATTTTCTTACTTCCCTGTGCTTTGTTTTGTGAACTGTGACCAGCATGTGCTTGGATTTTTTTTTCCCTTAGACCATCACAAAAACAGCATAGGTATCTTACAAAAAACAGGTCCAATATTTTCCTTGCATTTATGCACAAAAAAATCGACTGTTTCTGCAAACATTGCTCAAGAAAGAATTCAATTCAGCAACCCAAACATATTATCCATGCGTAGAAAATAACTAAAGAAGGGCATTGTTTTGCCTTTTTTTAGTTTTCTATATTCTATGTACAGTAGTTGTCAGAGCACAAAATTGCCAGAATTACTGAAATTTAATGCTACTGCTGGAAGCTAGGATAATAAACCGCAATATCAAGGCTTATTATGTTTTGATGGGTAGTATTTGGAGCAAATTAAATTGTTTTAATGTAACCCTATGGGAAATCAGATTTTACAGAACAAAAATTCGGCACAATAAAGAAAGGAAGGAACAGGAATGGATTAGTTCTGTCATACAAGTACCCAGTTTCTCTTTTATTTCATACTGTACTCCTTTTCACAATCCAACTGGGGTATATTGTTCAAATATATTTATAGAAAATTTTGAAGCCATCAATTTCACACATCAAATAAAGAAGAACTCATGTGAGGGAGATAAGTTCAATGTAATTGAAAAACACAATTTTTTATCCAGGAGAACATTTGTTCACCAAAATTAAAGTTGTCCCTAGACTTTAATGATGACAAAATTAATTGGTTCCATGCACCCAAAAGGTGAAATCAGAATTTCCAAACAAGGGATGATCCCTCATCAGGATGATATTTTACAGTACAAAGTA